TGGTTCCACTGGGATGCTCCCAGAGTGCCACCATCCTGGCAACATCATCCTGGTGTTTTAAGGTGCCCTTTGGACAGGTCCCCACCAGGGAGGGTGGCAAGCAGGAAGGCTTAGGCTGTTGCCTTTGTCCTGGGTGGAAATGCTGGCTTGGATGTGCTTCCCCATGGCAATGGCTCAGAAACAGCTTTGGGGGGGACACACCACCTGTCATCATGGTCAGATTTGGGGTCCACGCTCCCAGATGGGTTTCCTTCCCACATCTCCCTGGGACAGCAAAAGGCTTTTCCCACAGCACCTGGGGCAGTCTGGACCCCACCCCTGCTCCCTTCCTCCTCCCCAGCCCCACAAAACAAAGGACTAGAGGTTTTGGGACAGGTTGGGGGTTTTTTTTCCAATTTTTCCTTTTTTTCCCTTCTTTGCGAGGCCAGAAGTCACGTCCCTTCCATTTCCCCTCAGCACCATATTCCCAGCAGTGGGGGTGAGTCACTCCACCAGCCTCTTGCCACACCAGCTGGGAGAGTCCAGCATGAGCCAACACAGCCAGTGGGCAAAACCCCTCAGTGCCACCATAATTTCTTACATTTCTATTCTTATTATGATTATTTTTGTGCCCTCGGGTGCATCCACACCCCAAGTTTTGGGGTGGTTTTTCTGCCTTTCAGGTCATTCCCAGCCCAGAGCAATGGGGGAGATGCTTTGCTGGTCCCTGCATGCTCACCCAAAGGAGCTGGTAATTTTGGCTGCTCATTAACTCCTTCCCTACCCAGCAGCTCATTAGCCTGAGCTTTTAATTGGAATGGCCACCAAAGGCAGGGAGGCAGCAGGAGAAGGCATGTGCCCCACAAGCATCCTCTGTGAGTAGGTAAGGAGTGAAGGGGACCCTGCTTCTCACCACTATCCTTTTTAGCAGTCAAATAAGAGGATTTAGCCTTACCCTGGGATTTAAAAAACTTACTGCTGCTGATGGCACAAAAATCTCCCCTGCCACCATGATGGCACCCTTGAGCCCCTGGCCAATGCTGGTGCCACAAATAGCCACCTTCCAGCTCCCAAAATATCTCTCTGCCCCCCCAACAAACACCCCAGGAGAAGCTAAATACAGCCTTGTTTAGAAGCTTCTGGCACCTTCCAAGGAGCTGTCAAACCCCAGGGACTGTGACATCCCTCTCAGAAAAATGTGTCACGGAAAGGCCATTTTGCTATAAATAGAAGCAAAGCTTCACCTGCCGTGGCTGGCGGCCAGGGCTGTGGCCATGGGGCATGTCTGGGGGCACACTGACCCACAGTGAGGGTTTTCCTGGACATCTCCCCCAGCAAAGGGCCTGTCCTGTCACTCTGCATTTGCTTTTGTGAGGTTTTGGTGCGATTTGTTTGTTTCCTTGGCATTTTCTGATGATCTGAGGGGCTGGAGCAGCTCTGCTCTGGAGCCAGGCTGGGAGAGTTGGGGTGTTCAGCCTGGAGAAGAGAAGGCTCCAGGGAGACCTGAGAGCAGCTTCCAGTGCCTGAAGGGGCTCCAGGAAAGCTGGGGAGGGGCTTGGGACAAGGGCAGGGAGGGAGAGGACAAGGGGGAATGGATTAAAACTGGAAGAGGGGAGATTTAGGTTGGACATTAGGAAGAAATTCTTTGCTGTGAGGGTGGTGAGACCCTGGCTCAGGTTGCCCAGGGAAGCTGTGGCTGCCCCATCCCTGGCAGTGTTGAAGGGCAGGTTGGATGGGGCTTGGAGCAGCCTGGGCTGGTGGGAGGTGTCCCTGCCCATGAAGGGGGTTTGGGAGTAGATGGTCTTTAAGATCCCCCTGAACCCAAACCATTCTAAGATCCTGTGCTTCTGCAAATCCTTGATCGTCCCTTGTACTAATAATTGTCCAGCACACGATGCCAAGTCCCTCACCCCAGACAGGTTGGCAGGGGACAAGCAGGGACCATGCTGCTGCTGGCAGCTGGGGGAGACACAGGGCCACCCCCTCTGCATGCTCAGGAGCTCGATGCATCAAAATATGTGTATTTATGGAGCTACATTTATAGCTTCCAAGCACAAGCTGAGCTGCTGCTGTCACCATCCCGTAAATCTCTCACAGGGTTCTGTCCCATGCTGGAAGTGCCAAAACCTGCTCCTCCCACCATTTTTCAAAAAAAATTTGGGGCTTGGAATTTTTTTTTTTCAGCTCCCTTGGCAATTCCTGGGCTGTTTTGACATGGTTTTGCCCCCTGGATAACCCTGCAGGGCACCGTGCCACCTCACCTGGGCATGGGAGTGCCCCTCACGTGAGGGAGGGAGGGGGTGCTTCAGCATGTGACCCTTGGAGAAACACCTCCCCAGCCCCCCACATTTTTGGGGAAACCTAAAATTGCACAACAGGGGTTTGTAAAGGTGCATTTCCAGCTGTACCTGCCCCACAGTGCTTGTTGCTCCAATTGCTCCTAGGTGGTATTTCCAAGGAAGAGCAACCTTGCCTTCCAATCCACTCTGGTTGTTTCAGCAACAACTTCTTGCAAAAGTTTCATCAGAAAGTCACTGTCCACAGGAGGGGAAGAAAACCCAACAAAACAAAAAAAACCCAGAAGCCTGAGCCAGAACAAACTCCCATTTGAATGGAAATGTGGTGTGTTGTGGTTTTTTTTTTCGGGCTGGTTTTATCCTCCCCACCTTCCACCAGGCTCTTCCTTTGCCAAGCAGCTTAATTACACTTTAGTGAAAGCCTTTTCTCCAAGTGGCTCTAATTGCAGGCTTGGGTAATTGGTCTCATTTTTGCAGAGTGTGTTTGGAGCTGGGGAAGCACTCTCCCCCCCCCTCCCCACAGCAGGTGTGATCCTGAGTTCCCTCCCCTCGCTCAAGATTTTAGCCAGTTCTTATAGTTTTCCACCCAGAAATCCCCCGTGGAGCTGCCAAGAGGGAGTGGGAGACCCTTGCTGGGGTGTCTGGGTGTTCCTCCCCGGGGCATGGGCAGACACCTGCCTGGCTCAGGGGCCTGACTCAGCCCCCCTCTTTGACTCACAGTCCCATGGCCTGCAATTAGGAGCGGGCGCAGCGGGATTCCCCCTCATTCCCAAACACTCCAGCTCCCACCGCAGAGGCTGCCCTGCTAGGGAAAGGCTTCCAGTGGGGGATTTCAGCCCAGCTGGGAGCAAGTTGCATCATCCCCGAGCGACAAGAAGGGGAGACAGGAGGTTATCACAATGGAGACAGCTTTTATTAGAAAAGTAAAAAAAACCCCACAACACAAATCCCC